CACACACACACACACACACACACACACACACACACACACACACACACACACACACACACACGCACGCACATTCACTCATCCTCAATAACATCTGACCCTGCACCATCAATTCCTTGGCATGATGGTCTCTGTCAATCAAAGGCTTTCATGAATAATTGTAGTTGTGCTCTCTACTGATATTACACGAGCGCAAATTTCAAGTGGATAGACAGCCACTCTCATCGAAATCACACCCTGAACTCTTGCAGCATACGAGAGAGAAATCCAAGAACAGACCAGAAGAACATGACTGCAGATTCTAATTCTGTATTTCTATTGCAAGGAGACCCTCACTTCTGCATCATCCATTCCATGTGAGCGTGCAGATATGGTGCTCACCCCAAACACATGAAAATCAAGCTCTCCTTCCGCTTCGAGAACCGCCACACAGTTCAACGAAATTTCATCAGAGTTACGGTCATCAAATACCGCACGCATACAACACAAAGTTAGAGATGGTGCAGCTATGGTGGGTCAACCCCACCAATACGCTCACAGACTTGCAAGTTCGAGATCACAAGCCAGTGCACCAGCCATGGCTGCCGTCTTCACCGCACAGAGCACCCCGGTTGTTTGCACGACACATCACCCCGCAGAATGGATGAATCTTCCCAAGAACGGATTCGGCAGTTTTTGTTTTCCTGGTGGCACACCCCCTCCCCCCGTTGCCATTGGAAGCCTCTGGATACTTGCTGGAGGCGCACTTACTCCACGAACGGTACTAACCATCGACTTCACGTACTCATAAGAGCAGGTCTCAGGTTCACGGGTCCACAAGCGCAGTCGACGCTTACAACAGGGTATAGCAACAGGTAAGGGCGCAGGTACGTCAACACCAGCTCCCGGGTTCAGACTCCAACAGCATCAACAGACATACAACATAGCAGGAATGGCAACAACAACAGAAGCGACAGGTCCCGGGATCAAATCGCGGCAGGTTAGGAAGAAGGTGAAATCCTTCCAATATTGTCACATATCTAGGAACTAAAAGAGCGCACTTGGCGAAACAAACGGTTAAAAAAAAAAAAAAAGACCAACATTTTTCTCTCTTCTTTTACCTCCCCCTATGTGTTTCATGGTCTGTAACTTTCATTTCCAGTCCTGTCTTCTGTTAAATTGCAGGTCTGATGTGTGTTGTTCTTTGTACAAGGAAAAAAGTGACTTTGGCTGGATACACCGGGTTCTAACCTTGTGCAGGGGTCATGCTAATCTTCTCTGTGGTCGGAGGGAGGGGAGACAACAAGGCTATATTTGCAGGGGTCCCCTGTATAATAAGCCTTGGGAGTAGTGGTCGGTAGGTAGCGAAGGTGAATTGACAGAATTTGAATGATGATGAAAGATTTGAGAGAAGATTATAGTACAGCTTAAACCATTACTACCTCCACCAGTGTTGGAAAAAATGGGAAAAGTGGCTGTTTTCCCACTTTTCCAAACTTTTCCGGGGTCAGCGGAGGCTCGGCAGGTGGACTTTGTGGGCCCCTTCAAAAAGCAAAAAGAAAAACAAAAGACCAAGTCCAGGAAGGCTGTGCACAAGTTGTGCTCACACCAATACTCACAAGAAACTATCTAACTACGATCGTGCCCAGTTTCAGGTTGTCGTTGCTGCTGTTTTTGTTTTGTTCCCGAAGGACAGACACACAACACCGGGCTCTCAGTTCAGAAAGTAGTAAATACTAAATACTAAATACTACCATCTTCACCCGAAAAGAACGCCCAGCCATTATCGCTGTATCTAGATGGAAAGTTGCTCCGAATACGGCGATAATTACTGGGCGTTCTATTCGGGTGAAGACGGCAGGATTTTTGTGCTTAAAGAACTCCGACCTGAGGCAGAGGGAATGTCCCGAAGGGCACAAAACCCATTCCCTCTGCCTCAGGATTTTGTGCTCAAAGGATCTTGACCTGAGGCAGAGGGAATGTTCGGCTCAGGCTGGATGGCAACCCATAAACTACCGGCCCAAGCGAGTAAAGTGTCGCTATTTTCTTGTGTCTTTCAAGATTTGAGCCTAGGACCTCCGCAAGGGAAGCCTTTGTTCCCCAGGCCTTGCTTCCATCTTTTGCCTTTTTTTGTTTAGAAAACAAGCCTTTATGAATCTTGCTCCATGCACATTCTGAGAACCACCATCAGTCCCGTTCCTTTCCCACCAGCAACAGCATTGAAGGATCTCTGAGCGGAGGATCTTTGAACAGCATTGATTGCTCCCTGAGGGGAGGATCGACTGCTCGAGAACCCTAGCCTGCTTTTTACTTCCTATCAGTCTCCACCTTGCTGAGGCCGCCTGAATGTCGTTCGGTATTCCTAAGAATCGCTAAAAAAACTGCAGTGCAGAATATTTGTCGCCATACTAGAAAAAAATCTGAAAAACTGGTTTCGTTGATCCTCTGCTCTGCTTCTCAGCCTCCATCACCGAGCTTGCTCTGGTACCCTTTCTCAGTCTCTTTATCAGAGGTATCTCCTCTCCTCCGGTTCCACCTGTTGCTGCTTATCATACCAATTCTTCCCCGTAGCGACCGGCTTTCAGCAAAAGACTTCTTCTTGGCCTAGGTTTGAAATTGGCGTCATTTGTCTTTGACTTAGACCATTGATAGTGCACCGTCTGGAACGAATGTCGTACACACCCTGTTTTCCACGCATCCAAGTTGGCTTCTTTTGCTAAAACTGAACAATTTCCCTCAAAAAAATCAATGCTGCTCCCAACCATGGACGAACATGTAGACATTGACGACATTGTTGAGCACAAGCTGATGCCTGTGCCCAAGCCTCCAGGCAGGGGACACCCTTCGAAACAGCAGACGCAGTATCAAGTGTGGGTCCGACATCATACGGATCCTAAAGCAGATCGGTGGTTTACAAGAGAAGAACTAATGAAGACTGCTCCCCAGATTATCTCAAGTCACAAAAGAAATTTGAAAGAGAAGCCGCCTGCGGTATAAGGACTTCTCAAAGGACTATCGAAGAAAAGGAGGAGGGAGTGAGAGGGTTTACCGCTCGACATAAGGCCCTGCAGCAGGCACGTGCCCGCCCTAAGTGAAGGCCAGCCTCCTGAATCTCAATGTGCCCTGAACTCATTATTTTTTGCAAATCTTGGTGGGTGCCAGACAGTTGCCACGCGCCAGTTCGTTACATCCGCATTGCTCGCGAGAATCGGAAACATGTGTGAGCCTTCCAGGCTCTTCCAGCAAGGTCGAAGCACACGTTTGTGCCCGGGTGGTTGGGCATGCCTAACCAATTCGGTCCCAGGCCGCTGTCTGAACGGGCCTGGGCGCAGACACTTTGGCCCAACCTGAAGCTACGAGGCACACTCGAGGCAGGCGAGGCAGCCAACCAGCCAGGCCACTTTGCATATAGCGAAGTGCCTGGCCGAGGTCAGGGGATTCTGGCACCGGTGTGCAGCACGGCAGCGCTGCTTGAGCATGTGCTCCCGGCCAAGGCTGTGCACTAGGGCAGGGTGCTGGGAGGTGCGAGTGACCAGGGCACCGCTGAGGGCAGCGCCATAGCCCAGCCCATGTAGCCAGGTTTGGGCTTGGACAGCCAGCGAGAGGTAGTGGTGGTCTTTGTGTAAGAGGGAGAGGACGTGGGTGATGAAGTCGAGGGTGAGAGAGAGAGAGATGAGGTTGATGATGTGAGGGCATGTACCTGGTCTTGGCAATGGTCTACAAGGTCGACATCTTCATGTACTTCGGTTGTTGCTGGTGACGTCACCAGGATGCATTGTCAATTCGTAGGCTCCTAGTAGCTGTGTGATTGTAGTCTGGGCGCTGAGCGCCAAGTAGGAGGAAGGGCTCTGGATACATATGTTGGCGGTCGCAAGAGTATGCTCTCATTGACATTCAGATTCAGTGCTTTGGTTTTCCGTTGGTGGAATATCAGTGCATTTCTGCTTTCTGGACAGCGTTGGTCTTGCTGGCTTTCAATGTGATTTTGCATTCTGGATTTCTGTCATTTCGCTATCTCTCATTTTCCTTGCACAATCTCCTTTTCCGGATATAGTGTTGGTTTAAATCTGCTGATCACCAGCCAAAGGAGGAGAAGGGTATTGTAATCTGTGCTCAAAGAGAGGGAGAGAGGCGGAGAGGAGGCACAGGTTTGAAGGGGGAGAGGCAGAGAGGTATGCCTTTTTCTTTCAATTGGTCCGTTGAATTGACGATTTGAAGGGGGCACAGGTTTCCAAGCTGTCTTTGAAGCAGTTGGCCTGCCTTTTTTTCTTTCTTATTCTTTCTTTTTTTTCTTTTTTTTCTTTCTTTTGTTTTCTTTTTTCTTTTCGGCTTGACTTTGAAGGAGGGAGTGGTGGTTTCCAAAAGAGAGATTTTAGGAGAGTCCACTGTAAGAAGAAACTATTTTAGGAAACTTCACTGTTAGAACTTATTAAGAAGAGAGAAAAGTGTTTGGAAAGTTTTTTTTAAAAAGGAAAAAAAACTGGGTTGCACCGGTTATCTGGCCGGATGATCTGGCCGGATTATCGGGGGGTAGGATTATCCAGAAATCCGGACAACAATTTTAAAAAAGCCAAAAAAAAAAAAAGGAGATATTGTGCATGCAAAATACACTAGAACTACGTTCCTATTTCATGAAAAGCTGGATAGGTCATCAAAGGGTTCAAAGGGAATATATATAGGGAATAAAGGGGTTTAGAGGGGGGATGCTTAATTCATTATATCTAAATTATGTTTCGTTTTTCTATTTTATTTTTATCTTCATATCTGTTAAAATATCAAAGATGGTATCAAGCCAAAAGTTGTTCGTATCATTCATATCTACAACCTACACTTTCCAGATTTTTTCTAGGCTACCAGAGTGGCCCGGGTCAACTTGCCCGGCCGGGCCACAAAAAAAAAAAAAAAAAAGTTAAATAATTATAAAATATATATATTTTAAATTTTATTTTAAATTTGGTAAAGAATTTCGATGTGACCCTGAGGCAAAAGTTGTTCAGTTTTAGTTTTTTTTTTGGATTTCTTGGATTTTTTTTTTTTTTGGCTGGGACCTTCCCTAGTCCTTGCACGGCCGGGCCGCCCGGGAAAATAGGGTGACCCGGGCGGCCCGGCTGGTAGCCTAGGATTTTTTTAATATCCTTTATTTGTTTTTTGGGGGGGGAAAAAAACCCTGTTTTGTGCAGGGCCGGATTTTCCATATCCGGGATTAATCCACAAATTTTAATCCGGATTGAAAATCCGGATAAAGCTGGTCTGGCGGACATCATGATGTGCTACCTAGAAGAAAAAAAAAAAAAAAAAAAACAGAAGAGCTGATCTGTTCTATGAAATGAAAAATTAGCTATATGTTGAATTTTGAGACGAGAGGGAGAAACATTTTTTCATTTTATTTTAAATTCTTAAAAAAAATTAAAACAGCTGACTCTCCCAAACATTTCTGTTCTTTTCTTAAGGACTGGCTCTCGTGGATGTAATCCTGTTCTTTTCTTCTTCAAACAGAAAGCTCTTCAAAACTCTCTTTCCCCAAAAAACGTAAAAAAAAAACCCTCTCTTTCTGAGACCACCACGTCCTCCTCAAAAAATGGAATAAAACGAAGTGACCAGTGAGCAGTAGTTTAAGAAGAGGGACGGAGAGAAACGTTCTCTTCCCTCTAACTCCCATATAGCTGCTTTCGAGAAGGAAGGGAGAGATACATCTCCCTATTTCAAAAATAATAACAAAAAGACGTTAAATCATTTAAATTTGAAACCACGAAAAGCATGACAGGTTCATAGGTGTTTTCCAGAATTTCGGGAAAAACAAAGGGTCAAATTCGGAACCATGCAAAACATAACTAGTTCGTTTGCCAGGGCAGTGAAGCATGCGACAGAGAGAGGAGGTTGAGAGAGGGAGAGGGGGAGAGAGAGAGAAAGAGAGAGAGAAAGAGAGAGAAAGGGGAAAAGGGAGAGAAAGAGAGAGAATGAGAAGCAGAGAGAAAGGGAGAAAGAGAGAGAGAGGAGTGAGAAACAGAAAGACAGAAAGACAGAAAGAGAGAAAGAGAGAAAAAGAGGAGAAGAGAGAAAAATAGAAGGAGAGAGAAAGGGAGAGAAAGCGAGAAAGAGAAGGAAAGACAGAGAAAGAGAAGGAAAGACAGAGAAAGAGGAAAAGGGAGAGAAAGAGTTAGAGAGAGAATGAGAGAGGCAGAGACAAAGGGGGAGAGAGAGAGAGAGAACGGAAGCTAGCACGAAAGAGAGAAAGAAAGAAAGAGAAAAGGAGAGAGAAAGGGGTAGAGAGAGACCAAAAGAGAGGGAAAGAGAGGGAAAGAGAGAGGGAAAGAGAGAAAGACTTACTGTCCACGCAGATCTTGGTCCTCGCAAGCCGATCTCTCTTTTCGGAGTCCATCCGATCCGATGGGGAGGGGACCATAAATGAACTCGACAGTTGATTCCCATCTTTTCCCAGATCTCTCAGCTCTCTCACATTGTCCCCATTGACCCAGCCCCTTAGCCTTTCCATGTTCTTTTTTCTCCTTTTTTTTCCTTTCCTTCTTGTGGGGTTCTTCCAAAGGAAATAGAAGAAGGAGAAGAAGAAGGAGAAGAAGGAGAAGAAGAAGAGGGTAGAGAAGTGAAATCGATCAAACATACAAACGCAACAGGTAGACGCGGTTAATGAACCGACAAAAAAAGTCTAGCCACATAGCCAAATGTGTACTTCTAAGGAATTTCACAAAATATACATGGGTTGTTTAGCAATAGACAATAATAATAATAATAATTATAATAATAATAATAATAATAATAATAATAATAATAATAATATAGGTTGTGTAGCAATAAACAATAAGAATATAGGTTGCTTAAGAATAGACAATCATGATATAGGTTGTTGTTTAAGAATAGACAACGATTATATAGGTGGTTGCTTAAGAATCAACAATAATAAAGGCCCTCTTAGACAAAAAAAAAAAAAAAAAAAAAAAAGAGCGACAGCATTAAGAAATCATCATTGAGCTCACCGGCCCCAGGTAATTCAGCATCAGGATTCGAACGGGGGTCTGTATTTCAACAGTTCAGGTGGTCCCCCCCACTACCAACTGAGCTAGGCCCATTCGTGTACCAACTGAGCTACGCCCATTTGTGTCATCAGTACTAATGTAGGTCGTTTAACAATATACAATTCTTCTTCCATTTTCGATTTCTATACTAGTCTTCCCCCGAAAAGAACGTACTGTCATCAACGCTCTATTCGGGGCAACTTTTTTCAGTCTGCATACAGAGATAATGACCGTACATTCTATTCGGGCAAACACGTTAGTGTGCACAGTATAGTCTTGTTGCCATGAAATTACAAATTGACGTTTTTCATTTTACTTTCTTTTTGGCTTTTTTTTTTCCCTCGTGCTGGGTAGACAAAAGGTTGAAACACAGAACCACGTTTTTCGCTTTGTTTGGTGGTTGTTTTCCTTGTACAGCAGTATACGGAAAAAGTCGAAACACAAATCAAAATAAGGGCAGACTCACGCTAGGTACTCAAAATCGCAGAATCCCTAAATCACCAGCCAGATCCGTTCCTCCTAATGGAAGAAGAACACTCGATCTGGCCGCTCATTTTGCAATTCTGTGATTTTGAGAGACTAGTGCGCGTCTACTCTAGCTCAAAGCTTTAAAGCATTACTTTTTTTTTAGTGCAGGTCCTGTGATTCATGCAAAGTCCGATGAACAAGATATGCGCAAAATAGGAGGAGGATTAGCTGGGATGAACAAGATAAGCTTTAAAGCATTACTTCGTTACCTTTTACTTGTATGCTATGATGCTAATAGGATGCTAATAGGATGCTAATAGGCAGAATGTCTTTAATTGGATTTCCTTTTTTAACGGGATTTTATTGGAAGGATGTGATCTTAGAACTTAATAATAATAATAATAATAATAATAAAATATAAGCATCCGAATAGAACGCGCTGTCATTATACAGCTGCATTTGGCGCAACTTTCAATCCGGATACAGCGATACTGACCGGGCGTAGGCCGTTAATCGGTCGCATTATCTTGCCATATCCATGCAATTCCCGTTTTCCTTCTGGCGCAAAGTTTCTTCTTTTTTCTTTTTTTTGGGGGGAAAGGTGCAAAGTTTGTCACAGCCGCCAAGTAGTCCCGATTTGCTCCCCTCTACGGGTGGGTGAAAACGGGAAACGGGAAAAAAGAAAACGTTTTTTTTTTTCCTCCCCTTCCGGGGGCCGGAAGAGGGCGGGGATAGCTGCTGGCGGGGTGGCTGACTGGCTGGCTGGCTAACTGTATGGGCGGCTGGGTGGGGCTGGGTGGGGCTGGGTGGGGCTGGGTGGCTGCCCCATCCAACACAAAAACAGAAAAGGCCATATCATGCAAGGAAAAGCAAGAGAGAGAGAGAGAGAGAGAGAGAGAGAGAGAGCAAGAAAAAGAAAGAGAAAGAGAGAGAGAGAGAGAGAGAGAGAGAGAGAAAGAGAGAAAGAGGGAGAGAGAGTGAACAGAACTAAATTACAGGAAAAAGAGGAAAAAGAAGGTAGGGGGAAAGAGAACGGAAGCCAGCCCTAAAAAAAGGCAGCCAAACTACCCTCCTACCCCGAACACAACGCACCCTCATCATGACTCTATCGGACCGGAAACATAGCTTGTGTACATTCATGATCCCGGTGTGTTGTGTTCGGGGAAAGACGACAGGACGTAACCGGACCCGCGAAAGCTCCCAGTTACGGAAAACAGAAGGGGGGCGGGTGGAGGGGGTAGAGGGGGGCCGGGGGGGCAAGGACGGGGGGGGGGGGGGGGTAGAGGAGGGTTTACCTTTGTCAGTGGCCTTGGTCTCGTCGAACTTGCTACAGGAGAGAAAGGAGGGGGGGGGGGGGGGGGGGGGGGGGGGGGGGGGGGGGGGGAGGGGGGGGGGGGGGGGGGGGAAGAAAAAAATGTAGAAAGACGAGCCTGCTGCTAAAGCAGCAAGAGTATCCTTCGGGACATCACGGCCGCGTGAAATTGGAATCAGAAAAAGAAAAGAAAAGAGCGGCAATCGCCAGAACAGAAACAGCTGCCTACCGTCTTCACCCGAATAGAACTCCCGTTCATTATCGCTGCATCTGGACTGAAAGTTGCCCCAAATACAGGGATAATGACCACGCGTTTTATTCGGGTGAAGACGGTAGCAGCTGACGGGCAGCCAGAGAAGACAGCAAAACCAACAGCAAAAGGACGAACAAGAACAAGAGAAGCAAAGCCACACAGACTACATGTAGGCAACGTAAGGCGGAACAGACGACGACGATCGTTTGCTCAGGCCCTGCAGCTAAGCGG